GCCTCAGACCTGCGAGGCGTTCGGGTCTCACGGCCGCTGACTCTGAAACGCTCCTGGTCATCCAGAGATTCTTGCATACAGAGTACAAACAGCCTCTCACACCTTGTCCCCACTTCCTCCCGAGTTATCTGTGAATTTGACTCCTACACAGAGGTTAAGAGGACACTTGGTAGATCTGGACGCTAAAACCATGGACTAGGCACATGGCTCGTGGTGCTGTCTGGGCAGCTGCACTGGGGAAGCGCTGTGGGGCACTTCAAGAGGCCACTGGCTCAGCTGACAGCGTGGAGAGCGGCCGCTGGCGTCGTGTGACTGGCACCCTTGCGTTGCGTTTCTGTGCATAATTCCTTTTGGATTGCTTTACTGAGGCCTGGAATTAATTAAATAATGCAAACTCTTGAATGAAGCAAACTATTAGTAGTTGCCTCTATTCAAAAACGTAGTATCTTGAAGAATTTTTTTCCTCCTGCGAACTATCAAAGTATTTTTTTGAGCACCTTTTTGTTATTGTAATGGGAGTGCCTTGGGCATCTCCATTCGTTCAGCAAGCATTTGTTGAGTGGCTGTGTGGCTGGCTCGAAGCGCTAGGGACAGAAAGAATCGCCAGAAGTTCTGGTAGACAGAAGGACAGGACATAAACCAACAAGTACTGTAACATAATGCCAGGTGGCGCTAAGTGCCACAAAGGGAAGTTAAACATCAGTAAGTAGAGAGACATCCTTGACGAAGTGGGAAGTGAGAACTTCAAGCGCATGGGTCTGCCTAATGTGAGCCAATGCACTTCCAGCGTCCACTCTCCGCGCCCCACCCCACCCAGTTGAACAGCTTGGGTTTCACTGGTTCCTCCTTCCTCTTCAGCTCCAGGGTTTTCTTTCTGCGCTTCATCCGCCCTATAACCACCCCAACAACAAATGCTAATACTTCATAGGACTGCCCGTGACCATCGGATCTCGGAGAAAGGACAGGAACGCGTCCAGACTACAAGCTGAGAGGAGGCGGAGTCGGGATGACCCGAATTTCGAGAGCCTGTCGGGTGTTTAGAAACCCGCGTGTCTCAGGACCCGCTCTCCTCGCCACGCCCTGCACGCAGAACTGTTCTTCCACTTGGGCGTTCAGTAACTCAGGCCGCAGCTGTTCTGTACTCAAAATCAACCTAGTAGTATGCTGTCTCTGAAAAATGTATATGCAAGATTTCCTCACAGTTCACAACTGAGACACACATCCTCAACCGAGCCCTCCCGCGGCTGCTGGGGAGCCGGGTGGGGTGCTGAGGTGGGAGTCGGGGGTGTGCTTTCCTAACTGTACATTGGTTGGTACATTTTCTGCCCTCCAACCCCGTTTCCAGTGGGCTCGGAGGAAACAATGAGAGTGAATCTTCACCGAGCGCCATCCCCCTCTCCCCCAGACGCACACGCAAACAGAAATTCCACCCAGGTCTGGGGAAAGAGTTTGCACGAACGCTGCCCCGCCCACCGGGGAAAGCTACAAGTCTCAACAGCTCCAGCCCTGGACAGAAAGGCCTTTGTGTGGGGCGTTACCTGGGACTGAGCACAGGCGATCTGAAACCGGTCTCACCAGTGTGGCTGGGAGGCAGACGCACAACCTCTCACGGGTTTCTCCAAATGGGACAGACACACACAGCCCAGTTTCCTTTGCGGAGTCACAGGAAAGGTCAGCCTAGTCGAGTGGCAGCAGGACACCACTGGAAACCATTAGGCACGCGGCCGTGTAAGCTAATGCACTGGGGAAAGGCCAGTGGTAGAGGTTTGCAAAGACTGTCGGGGAAGCTTCCCAGCAGAGGTGACATTTAAGGTGAGATGAGAGGGAGAAACTGCCACAGGGATGATTTCAGAAGTTGAACCATTGAAAAATGTCTTAAATAACATAAAACTCATTTCAGAAATTTTAAAGCATAACAATATGGAATATTTATTAGGAAAGAAAATCTTAGATGTTTGACTATATCTCATAGAGGTTAAGAAGAAACTTTTAAAGGAAATTGTGATATTTTTGACCAATACTGTAGTATCTTACTTCAGCTTTATAACTGTAACTGCCTGAATTAGAACAATGTTATTCAGAAATTATAAAATAAAACATCTAAAACAATGACTTCTCTGCTTTGAAAACAAGGTATTTTACACAAGTATAGCTTGGCTTATGTATAAAGATTTCAGGCATTCAAACAATGTTAAATTATTTCATTTATTCACAAGCTTATTCACAGCTATCAGGAAACAAGGACTATAGAAATAAATATGTTTAGAAAGAAACATCTAATAATTAAAAGTCGATTGCCCTGTCACCATTTGACCCAATAATTCCATTCCTAGGTATATCCCTAAAAGAGATAAACACATCCAAATAGAAAAACTTGTTCAAAAATGTTCATTGCAGCATTATTCACAGTAGCCAAAATGCATAAACAACCCAAATGCCCATCAACTGGTTAATGGAAAAATAAAATAGGGCCTATCCATACAATGGAATACTATTTAGCAATAAAAAGGAAAGAAGTGCTGACTCATGCTACAAAATGGATGAATGTTGAAAACGTTATAATACATGAGAGTCAGTCACAAAAGACTACATATCATATGATCCCATTTATATGAAAGTCCAGAAAAAACAAATTTCTAGAAACAGAAAGTAGATGAGTGGTCTCCCAGTGCTGGGAGGTGAGGATGACTGCTAATGGGTAAGGGTTTCTTTTGGGGGTGATAAAAATGTTCTAAACTTAGATTGTGGTGATGATTGCACAACTCTGAATGTACTAAAACTATTGACTTGACCCTTGAAGTGGATAAATTGTATTGTATGTGAGTTATATCTCGATAAAGGTGTTTAAAAGAAAGTTGATTGCACTAACTTTAATCCAAACAATAAAATGAGTTGGGCTTTAAGATTTAAATAAAATTGAGTGCAGTTCAGATTGGATTACACTGTGGGTGGTGTGTGGGTCTGGAGATGTTAGTGGAAGAGAAGAAATGTCTGACTGAAAGGGAGGAAGTACTATAAGAAAGACTTACTCCAGACTTTGGGAAGCAAAATGATTAGTGCTAAACAACAAAAACCACCACTACAAATTAAAGATGGGTCTAGGATGCCAAATCTAGAGAGCAGAAATTGACATACAACTTCCCCTAAAACTAGTCGCCCAGAATACAGAACAGTTTTGCGGAACTATGAAATACAAACAGATCTCTGCAGAAACGCAGCTGCTAGGAAACAAAGCAAAGTAATTTCACTGAACAGATTAGTTCCATATCCTTGTCCCACAGAAAGAAGAATCCAGGTACCAGACAAAGGATGCCATTTCCAGTGACAAAATATCAGGCCTAATGTTAATAAGTCTCAAAATATACCAGAAGTTCTCTAGTGACCTCTAGTGGTTGCAACTAAAATTGTTTGGTTTATGATATGTGAGCCTAGGCCACAAAGCAATTATAGATATGGGACTTGGTACATTCTTTTCTTATCTTGAAAGCTGTCAAATTGGAGTAAAAGAAAACTGAGCCAATGACATCCATAAAAAGTTCCCTTCCCTGATTTTTAAGCATTGCTTGAAGAGCTATTTTTCTGTGGCTTGTTTTGCAGCTTCTTTCAACACAACTAGGACAGTGTCTGTCTTTCTCCAGTGACTCACTGACTTCGTAACAGACAGTCCTTTACCAATCCACTATGCACCCATGGGTGCTGGGGAAAGCTGACAATGGAGAAGGTGAGCGAGCAGATAGGAGAGATGAAATGGTTGATCAAAAGAGATGAGCAGGAAAAATTGGGAGGCAGGTGTTGCAGACTAGAATAAGCCACTTTGGTTTTGCATAAGTCTCAAGTGCTTTTTGGTAGCTACTTCAGAAGTTCAAAGTCCCCCAGCCTCACCACCGGGCTACAGGGGAAAGCCACTAGCACCAAGTGATGCTTAGTAAATAAGCCCAAACCAGTTCACACAGACTCTTCTGTAGGCATAAGTCTCAGTTCTCTGTCCTTTGGCTGAAAGTTTCACTCAGTTGGGAAAGGACAAGAAACAGTACAAGTTCCAGAAACAGGATTCTATCATTATCCTCGTTGTTGACCTCAGGCTACCAGAAATCCCCAGACTGACAAGGCTTTTGTTTGGGGATGAAGGCTGGGAAAACATCCTTTCAAGCATCTGTGACCAGCATGGCTGGATTCTTCGCCCATGTCCAGGCACACTGGACAGCTCTCTAGAATATTTCGGTCTGTCCCACATCTTGAATTTCACCAGAGAGACTCCATTTCTAACATTCACCTGACAAGTTAACAAGCCACTAGTTGCTCTGATAATAATGAATGTCAGATATTTGCTCTGTTAATGAGCAAAGTATCTGGTGATAACTGAGACTGTGACATTTCCAATACAATGCTAGCTAACTACCCCCAGAGTATTAATTCCTGATCAGAATACTAGCTACCCCTGGTATTTCACCTAACACCTTCAACTATCACCCTGTCTTTGCTGGAGGATTTCAAAGTAAATTGTAGACATAGTAGGAGAGAAGGGTAAGAACAAAAACAAGGACATACTGGTAATCAATGGCCACAGCTGTACGAGTCTTTCCCATATTCCTAAATGTTGTTACCATGGTTACATCTCAGCTATTTCTCAGATCATCCATTCATGTAACAAATATTTATGGAGTGCTTACCTATGTCCCAAATATCTACTTGATATATCTTGTCTGTCTGATAGTTCCAACGATCATTTAATATACTAGGGGGATGTTAAACATTCACTGGGTGAAAGTATGTACACGTTTTTGCAAAAACTAAACATCCCACTGTGGTATGAAGATATTAAAGCCCCAGAGATTCCACTTTACCCTTAAGGAAAAGCAGCAGAAAAGTCTATTTATAAACCTACAAATATTAATGACTTTGTTTTTTTTCTAGGGAAAAATCCTTTAACGTTATATAAACATTTTACTATATATTTTCTTTAAGAACCAATGATACTTACATCCATAAGATACATTTACCTTAATTGTGACTTAGTACATCGCAAAAGTATCGTGAATAAGAATTCTTGCTGTTGCTTCTTAGTCCAGAGGTCAAACCAATGACTTATAAGAGCAACTCTTTCCTGAAAGAGCTATAAAGGGAGGGAAATGACATTTTTCTGTACAGTTTAATCTATTCTTAGTTGCTAAGCAATCCTTAGGCAATCTAACCGCCTCGCGGCTCGTGTTTGCACAGTGCTCACAGCTCACAAAGCACTTTCACAGAGTGGAGTAGAGGTCTCTCCCTTCAGCTTCACCTGCTTTGATCCAGGGGGACGGACAAGCCCAGGCCTGCTGGGTGGGCTGCTGGAAAAGGCTGGCAGGAGATTTAATTACAGAGGGGCCCAAAGAGGCCTCTTTCAAAACAAAGAGGTGGAGAATCTTGGCTCTTGTTTCTGCCTTGGCTAATAGGTCCTGGGGAAACAGATCCCAGCTATCTCATATCAACAACCAACAGGCGACCCTTGTTGCATTGTGAAAACAAGGCCATTTGAAGTAGGTATGGTTTTATTAATCCACAGCACCCAGCAAAATGAGAGTTAATAAATATTGCTAAACAGCCATTGTTAGACGCGTCTCCAGGGAAGACGTACACCGAGAACCAGCGTCCCCCAAACCTGGGTTTCAGCCCAGCTTTGCTCAGATGCCATGTGCAAGCTCACTGGCTTGTTACTCAGTCGAGCCTTGGTACCCGCCTGCAGTCTCCTCCCCTCGTGAACGCCCGAACCTCACATGGCGGGGCTCTGAGGGGCTCGGCCAGCCTCCCCATTCAGGTCTGACAGAGCCATCCAAAGGCTGCTCCCTGTACTACCTTTCAGGGGGACACCCCCAGGCCCTACAGCCACACAGTTGGCACAGGAAGGAAGAGGATTAAAGAAATACACAGAGACATATACAGGAGTGGGTTAGATTACCAGCCATCATTACCAAAATGATATATCTTAAGTAAGGATACAAAATAATAATAAAGTAATAATACAAAGAAATAATATAATAATTCATACACAAATAATAATACAAGAATAAACTCTGTTTTGCATGATCATGACTATAAACCTACTCTTTTTTTTTTTTTTTAATCCTCACCTAAGGATATATTTCTATTGATTTTAGAGAGAGAGGAAAGGAGAGAGAGAAACATCGATTGGTTGCCTCCCATATGCACAACTGGGGATCGAACCCACAACCTAGGCAAGTGCCTTGACCAGGGTAAGGAATCGGGGGTGCCGCCGAAAAACAGAGAAGAGACTGGAGAGCCAAACAGCCGAATAAACAGGGATCAGGCTTTATTGGGTGCACTCCGGGCGGGTTCACAGACTCCGGGGGTCGAGTCCTAGAAGCCGCGCCCGATGCTGGGGTTTGTGCTTTTTATATCCGCCCGTTGCAGCTGGAATTTGTCTGTTAGGGTTTGACCTTGCGGGGGCTATGCATGGAGCCTCTGGAATGTGAGTGGATCAGCCCAGGGCACCGAGCAGGGTGGGAGTTAGTCTACAAGCCCGCGGCAGGCGGTTCCGCAGCAGGGTGGGAGTCTAGGCTGAGCCAGCGAGACAATGGTCAAGCAGTTTGCCTGGCGCCAGTCCCCAGGCCATCGGACAACCAGGAATCAAACCCACAACCTTTCTGGTGCATGGACAATGCTCCAACCAACTGAACCACCTGGCCAGGGCTGTAACCCTACTTCTGCCGACCCCGGTACATTAACACTCCACATCACCAAAAGCACCTCATCTTTTCTCTTTCCTGTTACAGTACACAGTAGGTGTCCTGGAGGCTTCTGTTTGTCCCTGGAGGTACAGAGGAAAGGGGAGACGGATTGGAGCCTTCCATAGGTAGGAGTTGGAGACTGGGGTGAGGAGAAACAGTCTTTGGTGCAGACAGATGTAGGTTTATTTTTATTGAAAATGACTCAAAAACTAAATTCTTTAGGGGTGTTTTTAAAAAATATATGGCATCAGGAGACGCAATGTGTCATAGTAAAATGAGCTTCACAAATGGAACTTGTTTCATTCTAGAGCATGTAACTCACCTGTCTGTTTAATGACTTGTTGCTAAGTGGTGTCCAGGCACTGAACCTTGTGTAGAAGCTCTCCATTTCCGGGGTTTCCCTGGGAGAGCGCCCCACTGACATCTCAGCAAACTATCTTCTTCCAGTCCTAGAAACTGCAGGCTCATTCAATAGATGCTTAACCAAGATCACCTAGAAACATCCAGAATATTAATATTGCCCTTTTAGGAATCAAATAATTACAGCCATTCACTTTCATACATATCCATGGAAGGTACTCCATACAAATATACACAGGGAGTTCGTGTACTCCAAGTCATTGTAATTTATGCTGTCCTTATCTGATTGCACCCAAATGTGAGTCTAAACCAGAGCTGTCTTTCACTTTGCTGGGGAAGTGACTCAGAAATGGGAATGATTCTGTATCAGCCAGGAATATTGACTCGACTCTTTATCCCCCAGACAGCAGGCATCTGAAGGGCACAAAGGACACCACTCCAAATGCCTATTTTTTGAGGACACAAGTCAAAGAGAATGAAGAGGGAAAAAATAGGTTAATGTATTAGTTTTCCATTGCTGCACAAATTACCCTAAAACTCCAAGTTCCTATGGGTCAGGAGCCTCGGCACAGCTTAGTGGAGTCCTGTCTTAGTCTGCTTGGGCTGCCATGCAAAACGCCACAGACCGGGGGCTTGAACAAGACCGATTTCTTTTCTCACAGTTCTGAAAGCTAGTAGTCCAAGATCAAGGTGCTGTCAGGGCCGGTTTCTGGTGAGCCCTCTCCTCCTGGCTTGGAAACGGCCACCTTCTCTCTGTCTTCCCACAAGGCCTTTCTTCTGTGCACACATGGGTTGGGGGAGAGAGACACCTGGTGTCTCTTCTGTTTATAAGGAAACCAGTCCTATTGGACTAAGGCCCCACCCTTACAACCTCAGCTAACTTTCATGGTCTCTTTATAGGTTCTCTCTCCAAATATATTCACCTTGGGGGTTAGGGCTTCAACATGTACACTGGGGAGGGGAGGGGGAGACAACAGTTTCATAACAGATACCTCTGCTTCAGGGTCTCTCACAAGGCTGCTGTCACGGTGTTGGCCAGGACTCGTCTCACTGAAAGGGTCTGAAGCTCATTCATGTGCTGGTGGCAGGATTCGGCAGCTCATGGGCTGTTGAACCGAAGGTCTTAGTTCTCACTTGCTGTTGGCTGGAGGCTTGCTTTGCCTTTCTTACCACACGGGCTTCTCCAGGGGCCGTTCAATGGCACCTGGCTCCCAGCAAATGAAAAAGCAAGAGAAGGCACAGAAAAGGTAGGATCACCCTGTAACCTAATCTCAGGAGTGATATCCCATCACTGTCGCTTTATTCTGTTAGTAAAAACCAAGCCACTGGGTCCGTCCGACACTCAAGGGCAAGGGTTACACCAGACCATGAGGAGTAATGCAGTCTTTCACAGTCCCCTTGGCTCGCTCCCCTTCTTTTCCCACATGCAGAACATACTCACTCACTTTTTAAGGGAGACAGTGTTTTTAGCTTAGATCCCAGGAGACATGAATGATTCGTAACAATCTCTACAGATCCAGATATAGCACCTCTTGACCTAGAGATCTCTGAGCTAAAAAGATAAGTTTTCTGGCCCCAGTCCTATATATAATATATATAATGGTTGAACAGGCAAAGGACAACTCTTCTGTGTAAAGAAGAATGACATATAAAATAGTTAATCCATAGCAATTCTGAAATCCTGCTGTAGAAGGCTGGGGCCCAATTATTATTTTTAGTTTCAATCACATTGTCTTTTAAACCATGTCCCATCATACCTTTGACAATACCACTTTCTCAAAATCTATCTCAAGCCAGGTATTTAATTCTAGGCAGTGCTATGTACCACAATTGTTTAGAGACATTTCTCTCTCTCTAATTTAATTGCAAGCAGATTGAGCCTATCAGTCTTCCTTAGGAAGAACCAAAGCCTAAGTCTACCTTCTCTGAGATATTTTTACAATTGAAGGTATTTCCTGGCCACCACCATGTTCCATTCAGACATCCTAACAATGGTGTGGCACCCATACCCTTGACTTGGCCCTTGCCACTCGGCCGACTTTCAAGCAGCATTTGTTGATCAAAGGTCTTCTCAGTTGCTTCTTTACTAGTTGAAGATGTGAATAAGTTGCACCTTGCAACCTTGCCAGGACCTGCGTTTTTTGGCTGTCTCTGCACTCCTTGATATTCCTGCTCGCAAACCAGCCAAATGTTCCGTGAGCGCCTTTCTTTCTTGTAGTGCCTTGGCAAATGCAGCTAGTGGTAATGAACTCATTCTAATAACATTAATTTTCTACCTCTTTGCATAAAACACAAGCTCACTGGGTATAAAATATGCCCTTTACCCTATTTAAGACTATAGTTTTACAAATTTTTTCCCCACGCTATAGCATGGATTGCCATCTTTCTAGGTGTCCAATCACCAATTCATGGTGCCAGACTGGATGTTAATGCCACATAATTTGAAATGTGTTGCTGTTGCTATGGTAGCACCCTACTCCTGGAACCAATATTTGTACCTATGAATCATTTAAGGAAGAAATAACAGTAAATGTATAAAAAATCTTCCAGAAAACAGAAAAGTGAGAATTATTACCAAGTCCTTTTATGGAGTTAGCAAAACCTTGATACCAAACACAACGAGGACCTTACAAAAGAGGAATATTATAGGTTTATTATTATAAACATAAATGCAAAAATCCTAATGAAAATTTTAGAATACCAAACCCAGCAATATATAAAAAAGATAATATATCACCACCAAAGTGGATTTATTCCTAGAATGAGAATTTGGTTTGATATTAAAAAAATCAATGTTCTTCTCATCATTAACAAAATACAGGAGAAAAATTATGTGATAATCTCAATAGATCCAAAAAGTAAATTTGATAAGCTTCAGTGCCCATTCATAACAAAAACAGCAAAACAACCTTAGAAACTATGACTGGAAGGGAACCTCCTAATTCAAATAAGTACCTATTATAAGAAACACAGCAAACATTTAACTTAATAATGAAATGTTGAAACTTTCCCTCTGATCACTACCATCATCCTTATTCCACATTGTTCTGAAGGTCCTGTCCAATGTAATTAAGCAATAAAAGAAAGTAAAATGTATAATAATGGAAAAGAACAAATTGCCATTATTTATTAATGGCATAATTATATGTAGAAAATACTAAAGAATCTACAAATAAATTGTCAGACAGTACATAAACTTAGCAAGTTTGCCACATACAGGGACAACATTAAAAAATCTGTATTTCTGTTTACTAACAACAAACCTTTATCAAATAACAATATATCATTCGTAAAATTAAATTTAAATACAACTTAAAGCAAATAGGGACAAGTATTCCACATAGAATACTAAATATTTTATCAAGAGACAATTTTAAAGATCTAAATAAGAGTATACATCTCTATAGATGTTGGTTCTATCAAACAAATCTACAACTCAATACAATTTCAATCAAAACCCAGAAGGTACTGTGTGTGTGTGTGTGTGTGTGTGTGTGTGTGTGTGTTTGACAAACTCGTGATAAAAAGTGTATGGATCCTACTTCTAGGAATATACCCTTAGAAACCTGAAACACCCATGAGAAAGAATGTATTCACCCCCAGGTGTGTAGCAGCACTATTACAATAGCTAAGATCTGGACACAGCCCGAGTGTCCATCAGTAGATGAATGGATACAAGAGCTGTGGTACATATACACAATGGAGTACTATGCAGATGTAAGAAAGAAAGATCTCTTATCCTTTGAGGTGACATGGAGGGACCTGGAAAGTATCATCCTAAGTGAAACAAGCCAAACAGAGAAAGACAAGTATCATATGATCTCACTTATTTGTGGAATATAATGAACATAACAGTCTGAGGAATGGGGTAGTCCCAGAGACGTGGAAGTGGGGTACAGACTGACAATCCCCAGAAGAGGGGGTAGTGGGGGAGAGATAAACCACAGAACTTATATGCATGTATGCATGAACAATAGACATGGACAACAAAGCTGGGGACAGGGTGGGGAGGGAGGGGGAAGGGGGAATCAGTGGGGGGAAAAGGAGAAACATCTGTAACAAAAATTAATTAATAAACTCACACTTCTGATTTAAAAAATAAAAATAAAATAAAAGTGTATGGAAATGCAAAGGGTCAGGAATATCAAAGACAATTTCAAAAGGAACAAAGTGGTAAGACTTACTCTGTGTGATATCAGGACTTATTTATTATAAACCTAGTGTAAATAAGAGCATGAGATATTGGCACAAGAATAGACAAATAAACAGAAAGGATCAACGAAACAGACTCATATATATAGACAGCCGATTTAAGACAAAGGTGCTATCACAGAGAGACAAGTGGGAAAACGAAGATCCCAGTGAGGAACTTATGGAGTAGGACAACTGACCAGTTGGGCCCCTTTCACCCTCAGAATCATGAGAAATAATTATTGCTTTAAGCCACTGAATTTTGGGTGGTTTGTTATTCAGCAATAACAACTGATATGAAATTGGTACCCGAAGCAGGTCATTGCCATAGCATGACTTAAAGCACGGGACACTGACATCGGAACGGGCACCAGCACTGACTCGCTTTAACCAGCAGGAGGCTGTGGAAGTGAAGATGTGCAGCTTCTGAGTCTAGGCCTTAGGAAGATTTGCAGCTTCTACTTTTGCACTCCTGAGATCTAGCTGATGGCAACTGAGTAAGCTTGGGCGAGATAACTGAACACTGAGAGACCACATGGAGAGAAAGAGGTCGACCACCCAGCCAATGCGCCAGACGTGTGAATGAAGCCATCTAGGGTATTCCATTCAAACTGATCTCCAAGGTAAATGCAACCGCATCAGTGAGCTCAGCCTATAATAGGAAGCAGAAGAACTGTCCCGGGAAGGCCAGCCAACCCACAGAACTTAACGAGTCCTGTTTCAAGCTACTTAATGTTGGGATGGTTTGTTATCCAGCACAGACCGACAATGCCACGTGCCGGTGTGCACCCAGAACTCCCATATACAGCTGGTGTGATATAAACACTTCAAACACTG